ATGGAGGAATCTGGAGGGCATTAGGCTGAGTGAATTTAGTCACAGAAGGACAAATATTGTATAAGACCACTATTATAAGAACTCAAGAAAAGTTTTAAACACAGAAGAAAACCTCCTTTGATGGTTATGAGGGTGGGGAGGGAAGGTGAGGGTTATTTACTAACTAGATAGTAGATAAGAATTATCTCAGGTGAAGGGAAAGACAGCACACACTACAGGGGAAGTCAGCACAACTGAACTAAACCAGGGCTGGGAGGTTTCCTGGATACAGTCAAACATTTTGAGGGACAGAGTGGCAGGGGTAGGGGTCTGGGGACCATGCTTTCAGGGGACATCTAGGTCAACTGGCATAACAAGTTCATTAAGAAAATGTTCTGCTTCCTACTTTGGCGAGTGGCATCTGGGGTCTTGGGAGCTTGCAAGCGGCCATCTAAGATGCATCAATTGGTCCCAACCACCTGGAGTAAAGGAGAATGAAGAACACCAAAGACACAAGGAAAGTATTGGTGCAAGAGACAGAAAGGGCCATGTAAACCAGAGACTTCATCAGCCTGAGACCAGAAGAACTAGATGGTGCCCGGCTACCACCAATGACCACCCTGCCAGGGAACACAACAGAGAATCCCTGATGGAGTAAGAGAAAGGTGGGGTGCAGAAATCAAATTCTAGTAAGAAGACCAGACTTAATGGTCTGAAAGAGACTGGAGGAACCCCAAGCATGGCCTTTGGATTCCGTATCAGCCCAGAGCTAAAACACTCTCCGAGGCCAACTCTTCAGACAGGGATTGGACCAGACTGTGGGATATTAAGTGATACTCGTGAGGAGTGTTCCTCTTAGCTCAAGTAGATGCAAGAGACTAAACAGGCAGCTTCTGTCTGGAGGTAAGATGGGAAGGCAGAGAAGGTTAGGAGCTGGTTGAATGGACATGGGCAATCAGGGGTGGAAAGGAGGAGTGTGTCGTCATAGTATGGGGAGAGCAATTAGGGTCACAACGTGTCTGTAAATTTTTGTACGGGAAACTAACTTGAAATGTAAACTTCATTTAAACTACAACAATAAATAAAATAATTTTAAAATGCACCAAATTTTTCTTCAGTGGAATCATTTTTTTGGGGGGGAAGGGAGGGCTTACACTCATCTTAAGAGTGGTCTACTTTCTTTTAGCCAATGATGGATGCAGTTTCCAGGGTGGAAAGGTTATGTTTATATAAGAATCGAAATGCCTGGCTGTTTATCTGAGGACCTGTTCCCTTACAAATTGATGTGAAAACGTTCAAGGGTCTTAATTTTTAAGAGTTCAGTTTTCTAAGATTTAAAAATGCAATATGAATATACTAGAAACAAAAGTACAGATATAAAAATAAATCAGGGAAATTTAGTTGACTTGGTATTTATTTCATGTGTCTTTATTTATTATTAATTTTTACTTTATTCAACTTCCTTATGCTGCAATGGTTAGTGTTGATATTTTTGATAAAAGTTAAAATACTAATGTTTACAAGTCATGGAAAGGGACAATCTTAAAGAAAGTAGCTGAGTGAATATTATAAAATAATTTGGAGTACAGATCACAGTAAATGGAAAGGAGTAGATAATTTCTTTTTCATAGCCAAATGATAACCACATTGCCCATAGTTTAATAAGGACTTTAATTTGTCTAGAGCTTTCACCTTATTTGGGGAAGACAGGAACTCAAATGATTAATTAGAAGAAAAAAAATCTGAAAAGAAAATAAATTTTTACTTCTACAATATGTTAAATTTTATCATTCTTATCATATCTCTGCTTGTGTCTATCAAGAAATCAAAGTGGGGTTGGGAGCAATTGATAATTCAGACGCACACACACGAAAAAAATACTCCAAAACGCAACATACTGCTTCATTCAGATTAATTCAGTCAAAAACTCTTAAGCTTTAGCAAAATTACTGGAATAATAAAATAGGTCTTGTAGAGCGATATTTATTTTGGAGTGGGTACATGCATTAAACATTTCTAATGAAAATAGTCACACTGGGTAAATAAATCATTAGCTTGAGAACATTACACAGTTCACTAATCTCTAGTATTTGACGGATGCTGTGAAGCTCATTCACTTAAGCCAGGACACAAAAAAATGTCTGCTAGCTGGGGCTGGGAATTTATCATCTGGCTCTCCCAAATGGCATTTCAAAAAGAACAATCTTATTTTTTATTAAAATACAGAATAGAGAGAATGCTAATAGAAAGGAAGTCCTTGCAAATGTCACCAAGCAGGGACAACTGGACAGCTTGCTGCAAGTTCTCATACTTCAGGCGAATAATTCTCTGAAGCATAAATAAGATTTGGTGCTAAAGTTTTTAGAATTAATTAGTAACTTAATTTCTCTCGTTTGTATGCTGTACTGTTAGAATGTTGCCAAGTCAATTTCTGATGAAGCTGAGGAATTGACAGGCAGATGGTTTCTTAGCTGGCTTTATATTTTCATGGATTATTTTTCTCATTCCTTTGTAGTCCAAAACCCCTAAAATATGTGGAAAGGGACTCCGATGAAAGTGGTTTGCACATATGTGCCTAAGAAGCTTTCAAAAAGTGGATTCTTTTGTACAATCTCTATGGATATTGAACTAGAGCAATAAGGGTACCTGGACAAAAGCCACTGGCTTCTCGCTAATTGACAGTTTTACTTCTCCCCAGGCATTTTTGAACTCTCCATTCTTTTTTTTGTTGTGCTTTAGGTGAAAGTTTACAGCTAAGTTAACTTCTCATTCAAAATGTATACGTAGGACTAGAAGGCAGAAGGGGACAGGAAAGCTGGTGATAGGGAACCCAAGGTTGAATAAGGACAGTGTTGACATGTAGGGGGGTTGTTAACCATAGTCATAGGGCAACATGTGTACTAACTGTTTAATGAGAAACTATTTTCTTCTGTAAACCTTCAACTAAAGTGAGAATAGCAGCACAACTGGAAGAACGTAATCGATGTCACTGAACTGTGCATATAGAAATTTTTGAAATGGTGTATCTTTGGCTATGTATATTTTCACCAAAAAAAAAAAAAAAGGTCGAGAAGGGAGAGTGTTGACACGTCGTGGGGTTAACCAATGTCATAAAACAATATGTGTACTGACTGTTTAATGAGAAACTATTTGTTCTGTAAACCTTCACTAAAGTACCATAAAAAAAAATGCAAAAAAAAAAAAATTTGTATGTATTGTTTTGTGACCCTAGTTGCAATCCCTGCAATGTGACAGCACACTCCTCCCTTTCCACCTCGAGTTTCCTGTGTCCATTCGACCAGTTCCTGTCCTTTCCTGTCTTCGTTTCCTGTTTTTGGACAGGAGCTGCCCATTTGGTCTTGTATATCTGATTGAACTACGAAGCACATTCCTCACGTGTATTATTTTTTGTCCTTTCTTAAAAAAAGCTTATTTACTTGAAGTAGGAATCTAAAGAATTTGGCTCTCCTCAGAGGAGAGAGATACAGAAAAGCAGCAGAGCTGTACATTTTAGCTTCTGAGTCAAATACTTTGGCTTTGCAAATGGGTTGATTTTTAAGGTAGTTTGTCTTTAGATTGAGGAGTCAGCTGAATCTTGGGATATAAATTGGGCCCTAGAATATCCATTGAGAGGAAGATGAATGGAATTGATGTTTTTGAATGTATTCCGTAGCAGAAGGAATGTTGGAGTGTCTGTCTTCAAAGCAGATGAATGAAATAAGGTCTACTGTGACAATTTTTATTCATAAATAAAATGTATAAAAAAATACTGAAACAAAGGAGCAATGCAGTAGATGTCTGAACAATGAGCTAAGATGAAGAAAGTGAAAACGGCATAGATTCAATTTGAGAACACTGTAAGACAGGACAACTTTATAACACTGAAGAATCCCTCCTGCCCCAACTCTTTAGAAAATACATTAAGAGACCAGATGAAATCATTTCGGCAAAAAAACAAAGCATATTTGAGTACTAAGTCTTGACCTATGGTGAAGTTGACATAGTTTAAGTTTCTGTAGGCCTCAACTGGAATTGGAAGAAAATCATATCAGGATATCCACTTAACTTTTGATTATTTAAATATATTTCTCACAATGAAACACACACCCACGTGTATATATACACACAAACATATGCATACATACCATTGGAAGGGGATGGGGCTGAGCATTAAGGGGGCAAGTGTGTTGTTTAGTTTGTTGCTTGCTACAGTCTAAGGCAAAAATATCTGCATGACTTTCCCCCTCCATTCATTGAGCATCAAGTAGATAATAATTTACAAGAAAGGAGCCTACGTTTTTGTTTTCAGATGAGTTACCTATTGTGTATCATATTACTCTATCCGCTTTATTGTCTTTTATCTCAGTTATTCGGGCCAAAGTTAAAGAGGTAAAGACTAAGTGCCATGATGTGACTGCAGTAGTCGAAGTGAAGGAGATTCTGAAGGCTTCTCTGGTAAACATTCCAAGGGACACCGTGAACCTTTACACCAGATCTGGCTGTCTGTGCCCTCCACTCAGTGTTAATGAGGAATATATCATCATGGGCTATGAAGATGAGGAACGCTCCAGGTAATTCACTCCTTAAGGATTCAGAAAAATTTCTTTGCCTATCCCACCCTGATTGCATTTCTCTCTAGAGATCTTACCCTTGGGACTTGTGTACCTTTTACGGGATCATAGATGGGTTTTCATTGGGTCCCACAATTTTATCTATTGGATACAAAGTGTATGTATACATTTTTATGGGTGTGGTTTCTTTCTAGGGGAAGATCGATAACTTTTATTTGATTCTTAAAGTGACTCCCAAACGGTTAAGAATTCCTGTTCTAAAACTTGCGGTTCCAGTCTAGATTAAAACACAAAAGTTTTAGCACCAATTTCTTGTATTTATCAGTATGTTTTAATTTTTCAAAAAATGATTGCTTCTTTACAATATACAGATTACTCTTGTTGGAAGGTTCTATAGCTGAGAAATGGAAGGATCGACTTGGTAAAAAATTTAAGGTAAGCCTATATTTCATATTCAAAGTATCACGCACACGAAGTAGAAAACCATCCATGTGTCATTTAAATTAGATAGTTTCCCTCAACTACATGGGAAATGCTAAAATCTGAGATTAATTGTGTCTAAAACTTCAAGGACTGAGTTTGTCTTTGATGGTAATTTCATTTAAGGAACAAATTCCTCAGCATGGTGTATCACAGACCAACTATAGTTGTCTAGCTTCCTAGAATGAGAACTCTAGAGGTAGTCAGTCCAGTGCCAATAGGGTGGCTCCACATTGCCATTAGGGCTGCAGGCTCTTTCTGGCGTTCTGCTCTGCCATTCTTAAGGGTATTGCTTCCATGCTCAAGTTCACCTGGAGGTCACAAGATGGCTGCTCACCTCCATCATCACGTCTCCATTACAGACAGAAAGAAAGGGGGGAGAAAAGAGGTTCCCTGGCACCCCTTCCAGTAACTCTTGCTTATATCTCTGTTAAGACTGAATCTGATGTCCATCGCTAACTGCAGGAAAAGCTGGAAAAGATAGTTTTTTAACTGGGCATGTTGCTTCCCTGAATAAAATTATGTTTCTGTGAGCCAAGGAAAAAGAAAAAAAAAAGTCACCTTGGAGACAATTCTGCTCATGGTGACCCCATGTATGTCAGAGTAGAACTGTGCTTTATAGAGTTTTTCAATGGCTGATTTTTTGGAAGTAGGTCTCTAGGCCTTTCTTCCAAGGTGCCCCTGAGTGGATTTGAACCTCCAACCTTTCAGTTAGCCGCTAAGCACATAAACGGTTTATACCACTCAAGGACTCCATGAGTCAAAGAAGGGGAGAGTAGACGATGGGTAGGAAACTGCCAATGTCTGTCCCAATACATAGATACCAATTCCTGTGTATAAGGTACAGCCGCATCCATCTGGGTATGAGATCGGACCAAATTAGACCCTTAAAGCAGTAATGTAGCTTTATTTTTAAGCTGATGACTCTTAGATCTGGAGTTGATACATTTAAAAAAAAATCATACAGTAAACTGTTATAGAAGGTTTTGTTTCTTCATACCGCCCTAAGCAAATCCATTTCAAAGAAAAGAATGTGGGGGAGTTTGCATAGAGGGGCAAAGAGTCTAAAAGGATATGTGTGAGGGAAGTGGGATCTGTACCAAACATAATACATCCTCTTCCTTCTGAAGTTGGAAGGCTTGGGAAACTTTTGCAGGGTAGGTTAAACACCCCTGGGCAGTTTATCTTATACATTTGGCACTTGGCACAGCAGACACATTTGGGTTTAAGTGACCTACAGAAACATACAGAGAATTATTTTTCATGGAGAAACCACCGTCCAGCAAGTACTTTAACCCACACCCCTAGGACTTTTGTCAAAAGTGAGATCTATTTCAAGTACAGACTTCTGGGAGTTCTTTATTTGTATCTCTCTTCAATAAGTTTGGTGTTTGTTAAAGAAAAGGTGGCTCTGCTTCAGTATGTTGGAATCTGTAACTGTGTCCTTTTAATTCGGTTTTCTGCTTGCTAATACAGAACAGGAATTTGTCCTAAATTCCTGTACCAGTTGGAAGAGCTTTCAACATCCCTGCTGCAAAGCCTGTAACAAGGCTCATTGCTCCTCTCTTGGTACCAAAACAATGTCATCATGTCAAGACCCGGAACACGTGACTCGTTTGTCCCGTTTCTTAGTGAGGGAAACATATTTCCTATTGCCTTCTACAAGGAATTCACAGAAGTTATTATTGTGAGGTCATTTATGTTATGTCTGGATTTAACCATGCTAAAGGGAAGAAATGAACCAATAACTTAAACAATTTTTATTTCATATCCAGATACTTAGGGCTAACTGGCGTGGGTGGAAAAATCTCTTTTGGCTAGAATGATTGAGATCCTTACTGTAATGTTCCAGTCAATTTGGGAATGTAAGGAAGAGTTTATGGAGGATATCGGCTTTTTCTGTTTTAAATAAGTAGTGCCCTTTTCAACTGATTTTTGCTCGCAGCGGATCAAAAATTTAAAAAAGACCTTACGTATTGCCATGCAAATGGTTATTTACCTAAGTCTTTGTTAATGTAGATTGTTCAAGTGAAAATATTTGGGCTTCCTTGGGAGTTGATAATCACACTGCGTAACCTTTTTAGATATGAAAAACAATAAATTTTAAATTTCAGAGTAAAGTGTGCTAAATGAAGAAAGATTTGTTACTTTCAGTAATAGAAAAACCCTACCAGTAGCTAATATTTATTATGTGCTAAGCACTTTATACATTTTCATCAGTGAATCTTCAGAACAGTCTTATAATAGATTCGTTTGTTCATTTCATTGTTATAAATGATGGAAATGAGGACTAGTGAGTTCCAGAAACTTCTCACGGTGAGAGGTGAAACTAGAATTTAAACTCGAGCCGTCTGATGTTAGCTCCTTGCTCCTCAAAGTGTGGTCCCCAGACTAGCAACATTAGCCATCACCTGGGAGCTTGTTAGGAATGAAAATCTCTGGCTTCACCCCAAAAGAACCGAATCAGAATCTGCATTTTAACAAGATCCTGAGGTGATTTCTATGTCTATTAAAGTTTGCGAAGTAATGCTGTAGTCCTGTGTTCTTATTCACTATCTATACTACCCATAATATAACTTCCTTTTAATTTATTATATTGCATGTAAACACTATTAACATTATTAATATGACATATTAGTAAACTTGATCATGGCTATCAACCAGTATTGGTAATGCCTTCTTTGTAAAGTTAGAATCGAGGGCAGGACCTTGTCTAATTTGTTTGTTGTACTTGAGAGAGAGAACATATCTAGAAAAATATTTTCAACAGACTCCCATACTCCCAAAATATTTTTTTTTTAACTGCTCAATTCACACAAGTTTTAGAAGGCTATGTTCTTATCTTAAACCAAACCCATTGCCATTGAGTAGATTCCAACTCATGACCCTTTAGGACAGGGTAGAACTGCCCCATAGGGTTTCCAAGGAGCACCTGGTGGATTCAAACTGCCAACCTTTCAGTTAGCAGCCATAGCTCTTAACAACTACACCACCAGGGTTTGTGTTCTTACCTTAGGAGGCTTAAAAGAGGAAGATGAAGAATAGCCCTTTCTTTGAACTCTCTGAGTAAATCTCCCATTTGCTGAGAATTTTTGAAGACCAGGGTCATGTAATTTCAAGGAAACCCCACAGATTTTAGCAGATATTTGTATTCCCACTTACAGATGATGAAATTTTATGAAAGCATTACTAAACTATGTTATGGAAGGCCAACTTCACTTGTGCTCTTTAACATCAGAGAACTATGTCCATCTAACATCGATTTAGTTGTTGCCTCAGGATACGGATTTTATCCTCTTGGAACAATAGTAAAATGTTTCAGCAATCTGATTGTGCAGTCTTAAAATTCAGTTGTTACAATAATATAGAAATGATAACCCTGGTGTATGTGCATGTGAACATTTTCTGTTTTAAATTTCACAGCGCTGGGATATGAAGCTCCGTCATCTTGGACTGAATAAAAATGACTCTAGTCATGGCAATTCCACTCAGAGTCAGAAGTCTGGCAGGAATTCTAACCCCTGGCAAGCACGCAGCTAAATTCTGAAATGCAAAAAAGTATGATCCGTGGACTTCTATTAAGACTTGCATTGCTGTACTAGCAAAGGAAAATTGCACTATTGCACATCATATTCTATTGTTTACTACAAAAATCATGTGGTAACTTATACTACTTCTACTTCCTCTTTTGTTTTCTGCTTTTCTCTCTTCCCTCCCATCCCCCCGCCCCTTTTTTTTGGTGGTCTGGCTGCAGATCCTTAAATAATTATATAGTTTCTATTTCACTAATCATGGGAAAACTGCTCTTTTGCAATAATAATAAATTAAACATGTTGATACCAGGGCCTCTTTGTTGGAGTTCCCAGATGTTAATTTACCCAGATTGGGAATACAATATTGAATGCAGAGAGATTTCTAGTAAACACAGAAAACCAGATAGGCTGTAAAACATACTCTGCTGATCTAATTACAGCTTCATTTTCCTCTGCCTTTGGGCATTCTCCTCCTGCTTGGGATGTTTTAAATGTTTATAAAGGCAAAATGGCAGTTTGAAATCAAATCATAGGCAAAGCAATCAAGCACCAGGAAGCATTTATGATGAAATGACACACAGATGATTTATCTCCAAGATTGGCAGGAAGCAAAATAAATAGTGGTAAGATCTGTGGAAAGAACATTTTGCCTGATTGGAGCACAACTGAAACCAGTAGCAGTTGGGGCTTTAACAGTAGCTTTTTTTGTCTTGTTTTTCGGCAATCCATTTGCTTTGTTCATGCATATATTAACCAGCATTAAGGAAGTGAATTATAACTAGACATTTGCTGTTGTCAGCATAGCTCCCTTAATTTGCTTCCCTTTAAATAAACCCACTGGTGTAAGTCTTTTTTTTTTTCTTTTTTAAGAACAAATCTGACTTGTGCATTGACCAGGAAAAGAAAGTCTGTATGCATGTGCAACAGGGTGTTATTTTTAAAAGGTATGTAGCTCTATAAGATACTATTGTTTGCAGGATGGTAAAATGTGCAAGTTTTTTTTTTTTAACGTGTGTGTGTCTGTACTTGTGTACATGTCTGTGCACTCACACCCCAGCTGAACTGAAATACCAGGCCACGTGCTGGTGCCGGCCTGCACTTTATCCTTTGGATTTGCGCTGTTTTAATACTCAGTGAAATATGTCTAATAAAAGGAATCGTGGTTGTCAGGAGAGAGGTTATTTTGCATTTTGAACCAAATGCACATTCTCATTACCTAAACTGCAGCATGATCCCCAGTGATCATGGGGAGCAAATGATTGCTTTTACTTGCTTCCTCCAGCAGGATTCTTTAGAGCCTGTGCCAATCATTTGGAAGTTTCATTCCCTTTAATTTACGTGTGTGATATTAGTAGAAACAAATTTCTAAGCTTATGGTATGCTAAAAATAAAACAATTATGAAGCAAAATGGCACCGTGTTTCCTTTTACAAGGACAATCATGCAAGGATGAAATTCATTCCTGAACAAGTTTTCTAAAATGGTAAATAATGATTAATTTAAATTCTCTTTGGGAATTAAGAGAATGCCCCAACTTCTGACTGGCCCCCAACAGTTTCCTCAATCCCAGAAGAAAGAGATCCCACCTTTGCCAACATGAAGATTGTATAATCTTTTGGATTACTATATGATTGTTTTCAGACAATTTCGATGTCTGCCATTTAGGCATTATTCTCAGATGGCTAGGGCAAGGACGTCTTCCTCTAGATGCTGCTATTGTGGCCTTAAAAAGGTGAATTTGGGTTTCATAGAGTAGTAATGAAGTGCCACACTGGAGGAACTGCACCTCAGTGTCTCTCCTTGGTATTTTTTTTAAAATTTTTAATTCTATTTTGTTCTTGTTAAGAATATACACCGCAAAACATACACCAATTCAAGTTTCTGCATGTACAATTCAGTGACATTGACTACATTCTTCTAGTTGTGCAACCATTCTGACCCTCCTTTTCTGAGTTGTTCCTCCCCCATTAACAGTAATTCACTGCCCCCTAAATTTCCTGTGTAATCTTTTGAGTTGCTGTTGTCAGTTTGATCCTGTATAGATAGATCTTAAAAGGGCATAAGGCTCAAGGCAGACATGCTTTACTAGTTAAGCTAAACCATTGTTTGGTTTTAAGAAGACTCCGGGGGATATTTTTGGTTTAAGGTTTAAAGATTATCTCAGGGCAATAGTTTCAAGGGTTTATCCAGTCTCCATGGCTCCAGAAAGCCTGGATTCCATGAGAATTTGAAATTCTGTATTTCTCCCCTTTTGATTAGGATGCTTCTATAGAATCTTTGATCAAAATGTTCAGTAATGGTAGCTGGGCACCATCCAGTTCTTCTGGTCTTATGGCAAAGGAGGCAGTTGTTCATAAAGCAATTAAACTCATATTCCATTTCTTTCTCCTAACTCTTCTTCTTCCTCTGTTGCTCTAGGTGAATAGAGATCAACTGTGCCTTGGATGGCTGCTTGTAAGCTTTTAAGACCCCAGGCACTATACAATGAACTAGAAAGTAGAGCAGAAGCATGTCATTAGGCCAATTTACTGGGATGTCCCATGAAAACATGACCCTCAACTGAGGTGTTTATGCCTCAGCTGATTTCGAGGACTGGAAAGTAATGCTTCTGCATGGTCCTTTTTTTCCCTGCCTTTTTCATCTTAAGTATAGGCATAAGGACAAAGAATTGACTGCATGAAATTTAAAGGAACTGGTATCTCAAATCCACAAAATGTAATCAACTCTTTCAAAGCATAGTAAGAACAATTTTAAGTGATGAAATGTTTTGGTGTACGATGAAAGCCACAGATGGTTCTACCTCCTGAAGTTTTTTTGTTTTCATATATTCAGTTCCTGTGTAGAGATTCGACACAATTTATGCTCAATAAGTATAAAAATACAAGCCAAGGAGGACCAGATTCTTAGATTCAGCAGTGTTTTTACCACCTTCCATTTCAATGATCTAAACTGACAATGTTTGGTTTTGCTCATTGCTATTGGGCTTCTGTCAGCGATTTCAAATTTCTAATGACATAAATTCCTCAAGTAAAGCACATTTGGTTTCCAGTTTGATAGTTGCCGTATTTTGCATTAATAAATTATGTGCGGGTGTCTCTTGGGGGATGACATGATTGTATGATGATGGTCACATTTCTAATCAGACTGCAAAGCCATTCCTATGCTGTAGTTGCCACAGTACAAATATAGCTCATTAATGTCTCTCTACAAGTTTTACTGGAAGGTACTCACTTTCAAAGCAATTAAAATTTTAATAACCTTGAGATCTATAGGATTAATTTTAAAATTTTTGGAACATTTTATTCACCGTCAGGATTTCACTTTTCTTATCCAAAAATTAAAGTACCAGATGTGTGCTAAATAATCTGGCAGAAATTAAAATAACAGCAGACTTGGACTCTCTTATTCATTGATGCATGAGTATCTTACTGTGTCACATAGAGAGAGTAATCTGATTCAGTGCCATATGTTACACCGAGCACTTAGGGGTGGGACAAACTTATGTTTTTCCACATCTGTTATATATTATTTAAGAAGGCAAACATAAAAGCTACAATCACTGCGAATAAATAGCACTACTTATTGACTTTTGCAAGAAATTATTTGCTATTACATTTCAACAGGTTAAATGACTAAAAAGAAATATTTCAAGATTGGTGTTTACTTAACAGTATAAATTTTAATATTTTTTTTCTTTATTGTACTTTAGAGGAAGGTTTACAGAACAAACTAGTTTCTCATTAAACAGTACACATATTGTTTTATGACATTGATTAACAACCCCACGACATGTCAACACTCTCACTTCTCAGCCTTGGGTTCCCTATTACCAGCTTTCCTGTCCCCTCCTGCCTTCTAGTCCTTGTCCCTGGGCTGGTGTGCCCCATTAGTCTCGTTTTGTTTTATGGGGCTGTCTAGTCTTTGGCTGAAGGGTGAACCTCGGGAGTGACTGCATTACTGAGCTAAAAGGGTGTCCGGAGGTCATACTCTTGGGGTTTCTCCAGCCTCTGTCAGGCCAGTATGTTTGGTATTTTTTTGTGAGTTAGAATTGTGTTCTACATTTCTCTCCAGCTTTGTCTGGGACCCTCTATTGTGATCCCTATCAGAGCAGTTAGTGGTGGTATTTAACACACACAGTGTTCAAGAAGATGGTAAAAATGAGGTGAAGCATAGATTTCTAATACTGTGTTACTGAAGTCAAGCTTTTAGAATTTTAAAATATTGTTCCCAGCTGTATTAATATTAACAAAAACAGTATAGCCAGACCTTTTGATAATTATCTGTTTTGGGTAATAACACTGTCTCACAGTGGCTAGTGCGCTATACAAAACAGTTGCACGGGTATTAACTCATTTAATTCTTAAAAGTCTGTGAAGAAGCTATTCCCATCTTACAGATGAACACGTTGAGGATTTAGAACTTCAGAGTTATGTAAGGAGCAAAGCTGGGCCTCATATTCTCTTATTCTTTTTCCTCAAGGTATACGTTTTCCACTATTGCAACTGCCAAAAAAAGGTGAAAACATCCTGACCTCGTAAAAAAGCATAGTGCCAGACATATAGTGGCTACTGATATTTTTTTCTTCAATTAAGGTCTACCCACTGGATGTCATAAAGTCTATATAACTTAGTCCCAAATCTGACCCAAAATATTGTCACATCAGCTCTTCAGTTGTCCTTGCCTATCAATTCAAAATTTCAATGGACTGATTCTTGTACAGGACAGGCAGGTAAATGAACAAATTAGCGAATCTTTTGGCATTAATAATTTAAAGGTGCATGATTCTCAGGAGAATAAAATGATAATTTCTAAGTTTCTTTTTTCCCTTGAATTTGGACAAAAATATAAATTTAATAGTATTCAACAAGGCCAGGAGGAAAATTGAAATTAAAAGTTAATGGTTACTACGAATAAAATCAAAATGATGACTACCCATTGGCAACTCTCATTTCTTGTTCTTAGATCGTTCCACTTATCCCTCCCACCACCAGGATCCTTCAGAATCTGGAAAGAAAACTATTCTATATTACCTAATTCCCCCTACTTTTATTATTTTCCTTATGACAGATTCAATGTATTGTTGAAAGACAACTAAAGCTGTTGTTCTTCGAGTAAAATGCAAACATTCTCTGTTTCTGATTTGAATGGTGGGTGTTGAGAGCTCAAGGAATGGTTTTATGAAGAAAGAAAAAAATGTGCTCAGGAAATCTTGTGCATCCAAAAAGAAAGAAACTGTGAACTGTTAAGGAGGCTGACACAGAAATGAAAGAAAATGCAGAAAAGAACTTCCCACCAACCATAGAGATGTGGCCATTCTTGGAAACAGTTACCCACCCATCCACTTAACATTATGAAATGGGATTGATGTTACATTTATAGGGTTGGAATTTGAGAAAGTTTGATACATTGACAAGGTTGGATCAGGTGTGGTTTATGAGGCTCAAGATAGCTCTTGTTCAATGTTCTGTGAAACAGGAAACAGCCTCTTTCTTGCCTACGCCCGTTGCCATCAAGTAGATTCTGACTCCTAGCTACCCTATAGGACAGAGTAGAACTGTCCCATAGGGTTTCCTAGGCTGTAATCTTGACCAAAGCAGACTGCCACATCTTTCTCCCATGGAGCGGCTGGGGGTTTGAACCGTGACTTTTCGGTTAGCAGCCGATAGCTTAACCACAGCGCCAGCAGGGCTCCTTTCTTATCTATACTGCATGCTAAATAAAGCCGATCGGGTTCACTCTGTCTTTATTTCTACATTATATTGGTGATTCTGGGGGAATCATGGCTTTCCAGATACGGAATCCTTGTACTAACAATGAACAGAATTTGGGGTGAATAGGTATAACCCAACT